AGGTCTCAGTGAGAGACTCTGTCTCCAAAAACAGGACTCTCAAGGATCATGACCCAAGTTACACCTGAAGTCTCCACACATATGTCCATACTTGCCAGCACATACACCACCATCCACATATACACACAAAATAAAAATAATAAATAAATAGAAGAGGCAATAGCTACCATAAAAACAATCCAAAATGCACTTAAACCTTCACACACAAATTTTCATTCTTAAAAATATTCAAAATTAACTGCATATAATGAGGTCTACTGTCAAAACAATCAGAATTGATTTAAGCCTACAACAAAAGGTTAAAAGGGTTTTTTAAATTAAGTATGGATTGATTTTAAATTAATAAATTGTTAAAATGACAAAACTTCCTAAATTAATTTATAGAATCAAATGTAATACCTCTGTTTTCTTACAAGAATGTATGAGTTGACTCTGAAATTCACACAGAAATACAAAGGATCCAGCACTGGAGACATGGCTCAGTACTTGAGTGTTTGATGTACAATCATGAGGACCAGAGTTTGTAAGGGCTAAGAGACCTGCTCCAGTCCCTACCCAGGATCCTAAATGCTTCTCAAGAACAATGGAGGGGGTAAAAGATTTTTATAGTAACTTTACACACAATCTGAGGGTCATGCTCTTTATTTCATGTGCTCTTTATTGTTCTGTTTCTACTCTAATAATCCCGTTCACTTCTAACTTCTCTACGCTTCTATTTCTAGCTTCTTCTATTCTAAAAACTCTTCACCTTCAGGAGCCTTGAAGTGATATGGAAATTTCTCTCATAGGTCAAAAGCACATTCCTAGAGCAAGTGATAAGGAGTTGAGCTATTTAACATGGCAATACAAGGGTTCAAGGCCATAGGAGCAAAGCCACGACCAGACAGGGAGAGCACAGTGCTCAATGACAACTTTAGGACACAGATCTATTGTTAGTAGACTGGCATGCTTTAACGTTAATATGAGGTTGTTAGTGTGCAACAGTACTTTCCTATCTACTGGCAGAGTGAAACCAGGACACTGCTGTCTTCTATCTCTCTGAGACTTATGGCTCAGCAACTTTAGACATGTCGTGATTTTTATCCTTGGGCATCTGTGAATGTCTCAATTGAAGTCTCTTTGCCTGGACACTAACACTGACCTACTGTCTGCCAAGGAAGATAAAAGGCAGACTTCTAAGTTTATATAAAGACCTGGTTGAGAGAGTAAGGGTATTTACTGTGATTACTTTCTTGCCAGAATCATGAATAGTTGGGGGGAGTCAAATGCATAGGGGAAAATGTGCCCAGTAATTGATGAATCCCACCATAGAAAGGGGGCGTTACGGCTTCACAAGGAATGTTCAATAAGAACAGTGACTATAAAGCAAGTGGGCCTTCTCCATCAGAAAGATCCCGGTGGGTTTGTTTCATGAGTTTGTCAGCTGAGCTCTCACGGCATAATTCTGTGGTCCGAGGCAAGAGTTAAAATTCTAGCACCCACAAAACAAGACAGCTCTGAGAGACCCAATGCCCTCTTTTGGCTTCCATATCCACAAGTGCCTGCACATACCTGAGCATGCACAGATGCACTTACATGCACACACAAATGTGCACACATACACACGTGGGTGCGCATGGACACACACACACACACACACACACACAAAAGGGATGTGCCAGGTGTGGTGGTAAATGCCTTTAATCTCAGCACTCGGAAGGAATTTGAACCAGCCTGGTCTACATAGTATATATCGAGTTCCTGGCTAATCAGAGCTATATAGTGAAACCCTGTCTCAAAAATAAATAAAAAGAGAAAAATGACGGAAGAAAGATGAGAAAAAGGGGGCCAGAGCAGTACCAGAAAAGAAACAGGTGGAGAAGTCTCAATGAGTCCCAGACTTACTACAGGCTACAGTACTCAAACCATGTAGCACTAGTGCAAGGAAACACACAGAGATGGACAGAGCTCAGAATCCAGAAATAAATCTCACCTTGATGGACGATTAGCTGCTGACAAGAACTCCAGGGCCACTCAGTTGTAGAACAAGAGTCTTCCCAATAAAGGTATCAGAAAACTCGATATGTGCATCCCAAAGAATAAAGTTAGGGGCCAGTGAGATAGCTCAGCAGGTAGTTATGCTTGCTGTGTGTTCTAGCTTGGTTTCTGTTGTGCTAAAACAATGAACAAAACCAACTTGGGAAACAAAGGGTTATTTCATGTCACTATATCTGCTTTCATCAGTTACTGGATATAGGTTCTAGGATGACAATTAGGGCAGTCACAAATCTGAGTAAAGGAGAAGGCCTGTTCAGACACCTCCTCCACTATTGCTAGGACTCTTAGCTGGGGCCATCCTTGTGGATTCTTGATAATTTCTCTAGCATCAGGTTTCTCTTTAACCCCATATAAAGACTCCCTCTTTCATTGCTCTCCCCTCTAATCCTGCCCCCAACTCCGGTCTTCTTGATCCCTCATGTTCCCCCTGCCCCAGCTTTCCCTGGAGATGTTAACTATTTTCCCTTTCTTGGGCCCTCCACGTGTGTCCCTCTTAGGGTCCCCCTTTTTACTTAGCTTCTCTGGAGTTGTGGATTATAGCCTGGCTATCCTTTGCTTTACATCTACTATCCACTTATAAGTGAATACATACTGTGTTTGTCTTACTGGGTCTGAGTTACCTCACTCAGGTTGTTTTTTTCTAGTTCCATCCACTTGCTTGCAAATTTCAAGATGCCTTTTTTTTAACCGCTGAGTAATACTCCATTGTGTAACTGTACCACATTTTCTTTATCCATTATCAGTTGAGGGACATCTAGGTTGTTTCCAGGTTCTGGCTACTACAAAGAATGCTGCTATGAACATAGCTGAGCAAATGTCCTTGTGATATGATCCTTTGGGTCTATGACCAAGAGTAGCATTGCTGGGTCTTGGGGTAGACTGATTCCCAATTTTCTGAGAAACCACCATACTGATTTCCAAAGTGGCTCTACAAGTTTGCACTCCCACCAGCAGTGGAGGAATGTTCCCCTTTCTCCGCATCGTCTCCAGCATAAACTATTATCAGCATTTTTTATCTTAGTCATTCTGATAGGTGTAAATGGTATCTCAGTTGCATCTCCCTGATGACTAAGGATGTTGAGCAAGTCCTTAAATGTCTTTTGGCTATTTGAGTTTCTTTAGTTGAAAATTCTGTTTAGATCTGTACTTCATTTTTAATTGGATTATTCAGTATTTTAGTGTCTAGTTTCTTGAGTTCTTTATATATTTTAGAGATCAGCCCTCTGTCTGATGTGGGGTGGGTGAAGATCTTTTCCCATTCTGTAGGCTGTGTTTTGTTTTATTGACCATATCCTTTTAGGCAATGGTTTCTTAACAATGATGTCAAATCACAGAACACACACTTGACCCTAGCACCCTCACTCTGGAGCCACACACAATTGGTCGCACAGCCCTCACCACAGAGCCACAATACACTTGCCCGTAGAGCCCTGTGGTGGTTTGAAAGAAAATGGCTTCCAAAGAGAGCGGCACTATAAAGAGGTATGGCCTTGTTGGAGGAAGTGTGTCACTGTGGAAGTGAGCTTTGAGATCTCACGTATGCTCCAGCTTCACTCAGTTGATACAATCCACCTTCTGTTTCCTGCAAGAAGTGGGACTCTCAACTCCTTTTTCAGCACCATGTCTGCCTCCACACCACGTCCAACCATGATGATAACGGACTGACCCTCTGAACTGTAAGCCACCGCCTCAATTCAATGTTTTCTTTATAAGAGTTGCTGTGGTCATGGTGTCTCTTCACAGCAATAGAAATCCTAACTAAGACAAGCCCTCACTACAGATACAAACAACTTGACTCGGTAGCTAGAAAAGCTGAAAAGAGATGGGAGTTGGAGAAGCCATGGGTCAGAGGTCAACACAATAAGCCAACAGGCAGTGACACAGCGGGCAGAATATCTGCCATGATGCCTGCCCCTGCACCCCACTTCTTTTCATAACCACAGCTGCTACTTCACTTTCCCTTAATTTCTCTGTGACTATCTGAAACTGTGCTGTAGAAGCCATTCTGGGAAAAGGAGTTCCAACTCAGCTACACTAATGTAAACAACACCAACCAAACTTATATCGGTATCTTCTTCCATCTCTTTAATTCTAACTGTACAATGACATTTTAGGACTGCCTCTTACAATGATATACAATGGACTTTTCTTACATCCTAAGAATATCTTTTAACTGTCACATTTAATCCATTCATATTTATTGGGACTTTTACCACCTTCATAATTTAAAAACCAAACACAAAGGAGGCTAGGGATACAACTCAAGTATGAGGGTCTAGCATCAACAGAAAAAGCTGGATATGATGCATGCACTGTAAGCTCAGCACTGCTGGGGATGAAAGCAGGAGGATGGCTGGGGCTTGCAGGCTACAAGCCTAGCTCTGGCTTCAGCGAGAGGCCCCATCTCAAGGGATAGAGCAGGGCCCAACATCGCCCCCTCCTGGTGCTGCATACAAAGACACAGGTCCACATGCACCCTTGTGTACACGCAGCACACACACCTAAATGCACACATACACACAAAAAGAACTGCTAAAGCCTGGTGTGATGGCACATACCTTAATTTCTGTGCTCAGGAAGCTGAGGCAGAAGGATTACAAGTTCAAAACTCAAAGGGGAGGAACTTTAAGATAGATTCACCATAAATACATTTGAGGAAATAAGTATGTGTACTCTAGTATAGGCATTATACAGTAGAATCTGATACAGTGAGACATAGTTTGTCTGACATTTTAAAAGCCTCAAAATTTGATCCTCAGCACCAAAATAAATAACACTATATAGTATATATGTTTTAAAGCATTGTATTAAAAGATACATACTGTTTTTAGATTTTTAACCATCAGTTAAAAGCAAACTACATTTTAAAAACTACATTTTAAAAATGAAACAATTACCTGCACAAACACACACAGGCATAATTTACATTTCTGAAATATTTTATCATGTAGCCTTTTGCTTACCACTTCTCCCGCAGAGGCGGCCAGCATGTGCTTCACGGGCCTGAAGTGTGACGCTGAGTCGGTGTGCAGCAAACATTTCACATATTCATAGGTGAGAAAAAACATAGCAGCTGAAATGAAAAAGTCTCTTTTAAGTGTAAATAAATATCTCACCTACTAAGGAATGTCTCTCAAAAGCTGTGACAATAATAATTCAATTATGATATAAGGACTGACAAGCACACGCCTGTCCCCACCCTCTTACAGAACACATCAAATCTAAACTGCATTATTGACCTTGGACTTGCAGACATGTAAAGACATGATCCCTGTCTACAGTGCACTCAACAGGCAGCCTGGCACTGCCATGCTTCATGTCCTAGCAAACTTCTTAGAAAGGCTGTGGTCTTCACAACCCAAAAGAGAAACACAGTTAGTCATAAAAACAGGCAGCTGCTGAATTATATGTAGGTTAAGACCATAAACACATACCTTAACTGAAAAGTAGATTTGACAATGTTTACTGTGGATTATGCAAAATACCTACGCTACTTTCCACTACTTCAAATCATCTTTATAAAACACAGAAACAATCAACTACCTCATTAAAAATAGAAGTCAGTGACAGGCTTGGCCATGGACACCTTTAATCCCAGCATACTGGAGACAGGGGCACACTGATCTCTGAGTTTGAGGACAATCTATCTACATGTCAAGTTGCAGGATAACCATGTTACATAGTAAGACTAAGGAAAAAAAAGAAAAGGAAATCAGGGGAAAGCTACCTCTACTGCTGGCATTAGAGTTGCACACAAGGCTTTAAAACTTTCTGTCTATGATCAATTAAGAGATTTATTTTTACCTCTTCCACAAGGGATAAGGCACAGAGGATAAATAGACAATAAATTCATCTTCTGAAGGACATGAGAGCACTAAACACTCGGGAAAACAACCCGAGTAGGAAAACCATTTCCAAAAGCCAACCAGTGTATACATGCCCACGGGCTGTTCCCATGAGTAATTACAGCCGTATATAGCTGTACCTGCTCCATTCCCACACTGGCTCCTCACACTGTTTCCCCCACTGTGGCCCATCCACTACATGTGCAGGTGTAAGGGTTCTGCTGCATTTAGCTGTATGTTCTGCAGGTGAATACACCCCTAAGGCCTGCCCCAACCCCAGAAGAAAGGAGGAAGCTAAAGGTTCCTAAATTCCATCATCAAGTACCTCAAGACTGTCATTTAGAGCTACTTTTGTCAAGTAGAAATGTAAGTTCCAGCCCCTGTCAAACAGGTAGCATCCAAAAAGGCTCTGGGGTTGTAAGTGATGACACAGCACAGCTCTAAAAGAAGCTCTGAGTACAGAAGGGAAGAGGAGCTGGGCTAGCCACATCCCCACTGCCACACCCCTCCCCACAAGAGCAAAACCTGGACTGGTGCTTCCTCTGTTATGTTCCTGTCTAAAAGGGATTGGGGCTCTTTAAAAGGCCTCCCTCTCCCTCTCTATCCCTCACCTGTGCTGGCTCTGTTCTCAAAAATGTTCACAGCCATCAACGGTAACAGTGGCTTCTGCACTCAGGCTAGACAGAGCCTTAACCAACCATAAAAAGGAAACGTTTCCACAAAGGAAAGTCTGACTCAGCCAAATCTACAGAAAGCCCCATTTCTCGAAGACTTTGCTTTGACTTTGTCTCTGCACTTTATTGTATAAAAGAGAAAATTTTTGACCATGGCCTACCCAGAGACAGACAGATACACAAACACACGTGTACATGCTCATGCACACACACACACACACTCAAAATCACATGCCTTGGAGAAGAATATAAAACAGTGCTGTGTGCTTAACCACAGCAATGTACCACATATGCCACCGGTGATGTCACACCTGCCTGAACCCTTACTGCAATAGAAAAGAGAGTGAAGCATGAAAGTCACAAGAACTGGTGACCAAAAGCCATGAGCAGAGCATGTTCCTCTGCAGATCACCTCCTCAAAAGTCCTCAGGCCCATCTACAGAAGAGGAGCCTTGGGTTTTAAACCACCAGTGTCCTGGACACGCCTGAGAGTGGTTACACCCCAATCCCTGCAGGTGGGCCACTGGCATCTGTGCGGTTTTCACTCCTTGTTGAGCAGGTCTACTTGGGACAACCCTGTATCTTTGTCCATACTGAGAAACACGCATTATATGTGCAGTATACAGTGGGGGTTCAACAATAGCTCATTGGCTAATATTCAAAGAATTAAGACAGATTAGGAGTCAAGGCTAACCCTGAGAGATGGGGGGATGGAGGAATGGGGAAGAGTGAAGTTGACAACAAAAGGATGGAAAGACTATGTTTTCTCTACACTACAAATCTTTATGTGAAAACTTTGTTTAAAGACGGGACACATAAGCATCAGGCTAACATATTCACAAATTATCCTGGGAAAAGAGTAAATAGACCCCAAGATTTAAGAAGCCCCTAGAGCCCTAATTTTGTGGGTGCAGGCTGTGCATCACTTGAGCTAGTTGGCTCGCTTTACTTGTGAGCATTAAAATCATCCACCAGGGCCTGGGAGATAGAAAGTGGACACAGCTCAGAAGAACACCATCTGCTCAGCATGTGCAAGGTCCTGGGTGCGATCCTAAAGAAAAATACAGCACCCTTTGGCAAACAATTACAATCAGGTAGGAGAATGAAAATAGATATCTCAGAAGTAGATTAAATAAAAACACATCATCAGAATTATCAAAGGAAAATACCAAGTCACAACATGACTTAAAACCCGAACAGCAGGCATTGGCAGGAGAGTATCCAGGACAATGCAGCCAAGCACCGTCCTCATCTAAGAGCAATTTAAGATAAACAATGTCTCTCTGTCTCACAGGCTCACATACCCAAGTAGGGATCATCCAACCAGCTCCACCCTAGGTTCACCTAGGACACTTTCAACACATCTTTCTAAAGCTGCCTGAAAATTCCGGTGTGCAAGGCAAGGTTAAAAACTACTGCTCTAAGGGATCATAATGAAAAGGAAATGCTTTAAAGATTCTGAACAGAAGATTTAAAACAGCGATACCATTTTTTAAAGACCGTCTTTTTTTTTGTATAAACATTCTGGAATGGAATCTCCAACACTTTCTGCATTCTGCTTAAATGCAATCAAAGAACAAAACATAAATTCAGAAGAACAGCTGTAACACAGAAGGAATTTTCTGTTGGTAATATCTTAAACTATTCTGAAACTAAACCCATTATCTTGACTTCTGAGCAGTGTGAGTATCCACACCCTTACCATTAGGAAAGGATCCAACAGCTGTGGAAGGAACGCCTGCATATATTCCACGAAAACCACCAGCCTTGCTGAATCCTTGGGGACTCTGCAGCCTTGTCTTAATAGTATCCAAAGGAAACAAGATCAAGTCAACAGAGGCACCTGCTACTCCTCCGGCCTGTGCAAAAGGAGGGGGGAGAGAAAAGAGAACAGTGAGCTCTCAGCATGGAGGAACAAGCAAGTAGCCTTTGCTCCTTTCCCATGCAGGATCAGGGCTGTGAAGATCTGCCCATGCCAGGCAAGTGCTCCACTCCTGAGCTACATCCCCAGCCCCAAGGAAGTCTGTAAACGATTTCTCACACCTTTCAGTCCACAAATGTCTTTGCAATACTCAAAGGACATGAATATTTTAGTAAGAAAATAATACACTTATCAATTGTGCTACACTTGCAACTTGTACATGTTTTTACTTTTTAGATAAATTTTAATGAATCAAATTTTTCTTAAAACAAAATTAAAGCTCATTCTTAATTTACTCCTTTAATTCAATAACTGCTTAAAGCCAATTTAAAAAGAAAAAGACAGGTAAAGAGTACAAAGTACCCTAGTTACTCAAGAAGCTACTCTTGGTAGTTTCTTGTGTCTTTCCAAAGTTACCATAGGCATATGCAAGCAAGCATGGACACTTTTTTATTTATTTTTATTTCTTTTTTAATTTTGTTTGTGTTATATGTACTGTTTCTGTGGGTGTATAGAGAGCAGATGTAGACATCAGACATCTTTCCCTGATTGTTCTTCACCTTAATTTTTGACATAGTCTCTCACTAAACCTGAAGCTTATGAACCGAGCAATGGTAACTGGCCAGTGAGCCCCACCCTGCTTTGGGGACAAGGTTTCATGTAGACCAAATTAGCCTTGAACTTGTTATACAACCAAGGATGACCTTGAACTCCTAAGCCTGCCTCTACCTTTCAAGTGTGATGGTACAAATATAGACAATGGAATACCATTCAGCTGTTTAAAAAATAATTAAATTTAGTATGCAGGAAAATGGAACTAGAAAAACATTGTGAGTAGAGTGACCCAAACTCGGAAAGACAAATGCCGTATGTTCACTCTCAACTACAGTTCCTAACTCTGAATCTTTGATAAGTGTATAACCTGGAGTAACTTTAGAGACCAGGAAAGGAAAAAGGTACCATGGCAGGGGCTAGAGAAAGGAATAGCAGGATCCAAGTGATATGAGGGAACAGGAAAAAAGGAGGGAGCTCTGTTTGTATAGGAGGGGGAGGGAAGTCAATACAGAATGAGAGGGAGAGGAGGGATGAATTACACCAAGGATATTTGATGAGGCATCAAAGAATCATATTATTTTATATTTACCTAAAATTATACACAAGACGTGTCACCGTGTGTGTGTGTGTGTGTGTGTGTGTGTGTGTGTGTGTGTGTGTGTGTGTGTGTAAGCCACTTGAGCTTACAATACGCCCCACACATGCAGTACCAGGGATGAGAAACTTCCATTTGAGTTGTTAGGGTAGTCAAGTGACTCCCATAGGCCATTGCCACTGACCTTGGTTGCCTCTCAGAGTCAAGTTGAAGGCAGTCCCTATTGCTGAAGACATCACACACTTTGCACACAGAATTCTGAAGACCTGAACCAAAAATACCCTGCAAGCCTCTTCCACGGGTCAGAAAGTACCCTGCATGCTACCAAGGGAGGGAAGCAACCAACAGTCCTATCTAATGACCACCATAGCAAGCTATCCGAAGGTGCAGGAGTGGTCGGGGAACATTGTGGAGGAGGAGACAGAAAGAGTGTAAGAAACAGAGGACTAAAAAGTCTGCTATAAGACTGTCTCCTAGAAATGACGGGGAACCTATAGTTATGAAAGCTCAACAATATGGCTGCCTACACAAGACCTGAACAATATGTCAATAGACAAGATAATACAGAAGAGAGAACTCTCAAGGGGCCCCACCCACAGACAAAAACCTTTAGGCAACGAAGTGTTGAGAGGGGGAGAATTAGCCCTCCCCTACTCAGTTATCCAATACAAAGTTGTCAGTCCTGAAATCATACACACACAAACTACACCTAGGGACTCAGCAAGTTGTATTTACATATGTATCCACTTTTCTAAGTAACAATAATAATCAAAAGAGGCCATCAATTTGGGAGGGATTTGGGGGCCATGGGAAGGGCTGGCAGAAGCAACACGGGGCAGGAGGGAAAGAGGAATAAGAAGGAAGGAAGTGACATATTTTAGCTTTTTAACGTCTTAGTAAAAAGTGGAAATAAGTAAAAGCAAAAGAAGAGTACCTGTAATCGCAGCACTGAGGAGGCTGAGTCCGAAGGACCTAGAATTCAAGACCAGTCTGGATTACAGAGGGAGACTATCTTAAAATTAATTAGGTAAATATTAAATAGATGGCATACAATATATAAACTGTTCTATACTGCTTTTATGCCTCTCAACAATTTATTCTGTGGCAGAATCGGGCCTAATGTTCTATGTTATCTTTTGAACTACTGAGTACTAAATCTGCATAACAACTTTTTGGGAAACTTAAATTTCCAGACAGCTAATAATTCTTATCCACTTAGATCTGTATTAAGAAGCACACATCTAAGGATTCACATATTAATTTCTATGTTTACTATATCTGCTAATCCCATGACAACTTCTAATTAAATAGCTAAATTTTTTTATAGGATCTGGTACTTATTTCTAAGGAATTTACTTTCTTTAAAAAGTGGAACATTAAAAACTGTACCTGGGAACTGCACAGAGCTCCCAATCCCGGCGGGAGCATCAGGTAAACAGGCCAGCTTCCCGGCCTGTGTTCCAGAGCCTGCAGATCACCTGGGAACTGCACAGAGCTCCCAATCCCGGCGGGAGCCAAGCAGCCCAGATTCCAGATCTTCTCTCCCACCAACGAGTCCAGGAAACTAGAGAAGGCTGGGAGCACAGGGAAGTAGCTGTCCCTCTGGCATCATCAGGTAAACAGGCCAGCTTCCCGGCCTGTGTTCCAGAGCCTGCAGATCACCTGGGAACTGCACAGAGCTGCCAATCCTGGCGGGAGCCAAGCACCCCAGACTCCAGATCTTCTCTCCCACCAACGAGTCCAGGAAACTAGAGAAGGCTGGGCACACAGGGAAGTAGCTGTCCCTCTGGCATCATCAGGTAAACAGGCCAGCTTCCCAGCCTGTGTTCCAGAGCCTGCAGATCGCCTGGGAACTGCACAGAGCTCCCAATCCCGGCAGGAGCATCAGGTAAACAGGCCAGCTTCCCGGCCTGTGTTCCAGAGCCTGCAGATCACCTGGGAACTGCACAGAGCTCCCAATCCCGGCGGGAGCATCAGGTAAACAGGCCAGCTTCCTGGCCTGTGTTCCAGAGCCTGCAGATCGCCTGGGAACTGCACAGAGCTCCCAATCCCGGTGGGAGCCAAGCACCCCAGACTCCAGATCTTCTCTCCCACCAAAGAGACCAGGAAACTACAGGAGCCAGGGAGACCAGGGGAGTAGCAGTTCCAGATCAGGTACAACAGGACCCAGCATAGGGTCCAGGGGACCAGGTAGGAGGCTAAGCGCCCCAGATTCCTGTTCTTCTTCTCTACCCACGGACCAGCATTTGGACAAGGCATAGAAGAACCACCAGATTACTGGACTTACTAGCACCCACCAAAGGGAACTCTGGTCCCCAGACCAGGAAGGGGCTCTTTCTGCACCCACTAGAAGAAGAGATGGGAAAGAGACAATACAAAAACACAGTCAGCAACAGAAAAACAAATATGACACCGCCAGATTCTAGAGACTCCACACCAGCAAGACCCCAATATTCCAACGCGAAGGAAGCAGAAGAGAACGACCTTAAAAGCACTTTCATGAAAATGATAGAGGCCCTAAAAGAGGATATTGGAAAATCCCTCAAAGAAATGGAAGAAAAAACAAACCAAAAAATGCAAGAAATGGAAGAAAAAACAAACCAAAAAATGCAAGAATTGGAAGAAAAAACAAACCAAAAAAGGCACAAAATGGAAGAAGAAATGAAGCAAAAAATGCAAGAAATGGAAGAAAAAGCAAAGCAAAAAATGCAAGAATTAGAAGAAGAAACATACCAAATAAGGCAGGAAATGGAAGAAGAAACAAAGCAAAAAATGCAAGAAATGGTAGAAAAAACAAAGCAAAAAATGAAAAAAATGGAGGAAGAAACAAACCAAAAAAGGCAGGAAATGGAAGAAGAAACAAAGCACAAAATCCAAGAAATGGAACAAAAAGCAAACCAAAAAATGCAAGAAATGGAAGAAAGAACAAAGCAAAAAATTCATAAAAGGCAACAAACGGACGAACAGATAAACAGAAAATTGCAAGAAGCAATGCAAACGCTGCAAGGGTTGAAAACTGAAATAGAGTCACTAAAAAAAACACAATCTGAAGAAAGGCAGAAAATAGAAAAGCTGGACAAACAGTCAGGCACTACCAATACAAGCATTACCAACAGAATAGAAGAGATGGAAGAGAGAATCTCAAGTGTTGAAGATACATTAGGAGAAATGGATTTATCAACCAAAGAAAACCTTAAATCCAACAAATCCTTAACACAAAACATCCAGGAATTATGGGACACCATGAAAAGACCAAACCTAAGAATAATAGGTATAGAAGAAGGAGAAGAAATCCACCTCAAAGGGGCAGAAGGCATATTCAACAAAATCATAGAAGAAAACTTTCCCAACCTTAAGAAAGACATGCCAATGAAGGTACAAGAAGCCTACAGAACACCAAATAGAGTGGACCACAAAAAAAAATCCCTCACCACATAATAATCAAGACCCCAAACATACAGAATAAAGAAAGAATATTAAGAGCAGCTAAGGAAAAAGGTCAAGTAACATATAAAGGCAGACCTATCAGAATTACACCTGATTTCTCCATGGAAACTCTGAAAGCCAGAAGGTCCTGGATAGATATTCTACCTACACTAAGAGACCATGGATGCCAGCCCAGACTACTATACCCGGCAAAGCTCTCAATCACTATAGACGGAGAAAACAAGATATTCCATGACAAAACTAGATTCAACCAATATGTGTCCACTAACCCAGCCCTACAGAAAATTTTGGAAGGAAAACTCCAACCCAAGGAAGCTAACTACAACCAGAAAAACATAAGC